GAATAAATGAATATCAGTCTCTTAAGCACACTAAGATAGAACCATAATTTGTTTCTTTGATCATAAATACTGTTTTTATTGACTGGCAGGCAGTAATTCATATACTAGTTGCAACCCTTATATCATAAATATATCTCCTTTCTCTTTCTTTCTCCCAACCCCCTGGTAATCCCATTTAACTCAGAAAAAATGATTTTTTTATTTAAAATTTATATATTGCTGCTACACAGAGAGGAAGGGAGAGGGATAGAGAGTTAGAAACATCGATGAGAGAGAAACATCGATCAGCTGCCTCCTGCACACTCCCCACTGGGGATGTGCCCGCTACCAAGGTACATGCCCTTGACCTGAATCAAACCCGGGACCCTTGAGTCCGAAGGCCGACGCTCTATCCACTGAGCCAAACCGGTTAGGGCACCAAAATGGTTTTTATCACAAAAAATGTACCACCCAAAATCCTCACAAATGTCCCTGGGAAATGTCTCCTGAGCTGTAAACTCATGAGGTCAGGAACAGTGTCTAGATCAGCGGTTCTCAACCTGGCTGCACATTAGAATCACCTGGGAATCTTTTTAAAATCCTGATTTCTGGGCCTCATCCTCCGGAAATCCTGTTTCTTTGTTATGGGGTGGGGCCACAACATTAGTAACAAAGAAACAATTTCTGGAGGATGAGGCCCAGAAATCAGGATTTTAAAAAGATTCCCAGGTGATTCTAATGTGCAGCCAAGGTTGAGAACCACTGGTTTGGTGGGATCAGGAAGGTGTGGTGTATTATGAGCTTCTAAAACCAGGTGAAACCGTTAATACTGATCGCCACCGACAACAAATAATCAATTTGAACCACGCTTTGATCATAAAACCACCAGAATGTGCCAGAAGACACGGCAAAGTAATTTTGCTTCATGATGATGCACCATCACACACTTCAAACCAGTTAAAGACACGTTAAAAGATCTTGCTTGGGAAGTATGAACCCACCCACCGTATTCACCAGACCTTGCTCCTTCAGATGACCACTTATTCCGATCGATGGCACACGCACTTTCTGAGCAGCACTTCAAAACATACGAAGAAGTAGGAAACTGGGTCTCTGAATGGTTTGCCTCAAAACAAAGAAAGTTCTATTGGGGTATCCACAAATCACCTGAAAGATGGGGGAATGTGTAGCTAGCGATGGACATTACTTTGAACAAAGCACTTTTGATGTTTCTCTTGCAATTATCCTGTTTTCTTTGATTACAAAATCCACATTATTAACCGGTATCCGCATTATTAACCGGTAGAGGGTCAATCCTCATTATTAACCGGTCCACCTAGTATATCTTCATACCTACATCCACAGCGTCCCTCGGCCCCCTCGGGAGATTGGTTCCAGGACTGCCTGCTGACACCCAAATCCAGAGGCTCGGTCCCTGACAGAAGAGGAGGTAGGACGTGTGAATAACAGGCCCATCCTCCCGAAGCGTGAACTCCTCCGTGTCACACCCACTGCCTGGCACACGTAGCCGCTGTGTGAACAGGTGTGACACTGCGTCGTTGGAATGAGGACCAGGAGGGACTCTGTATGTGTTTAGAGCAGAAGTGGGCAGCGCAGGCCTAACCAGGAAGCAACAAGGTAACTTTTCTGCAACAACGTAACTTCTTGCCAACATTTTCCATCCAGGGCGGGTAGGGAGCCCCTGGCATAGGAAGAAGGCAGGGACAGGGTCCAGGTGTGCCGGGGGTGTTCAGAGACACCCCACCCTCTCCTGTCGGGTGCGAGGGCCTTGGCTGAGGATATCCCGGCCGCCCGGCCTCTCGGGGCTCAGGCCAGGGGCCGCCTGCAGGCCGGGCACCAATGGCCACGCAGAGG